CCAGCGCTAGCCCACGCGATGAACCCAGCGCTAGTCACGTGATGAACCCAGCGCTAGCCACGTGATGAACCCAGCGCTAGTCACGTGATGAACCCAGCGCTAGTCACGTGATGAACCCAGCGCTAGCCACGTGATGAACCCAGCGCTACCAACAATTTGCCCGAGCTCCGCACTCCTCTGCACATTAAGGTGTTTTGTCGGACAATTAAAGGGTTTGCATAAGTGTAATGAATTCGCGGATGGCCCTGCGCACGACGTCTGCGATACGGCTCCCACCCGTATCGCAGCGTATGAGTTTGCGTTTTAAGTATTCGAGGGTCATCCATTTACAGACACCCCCACTCGTTTACCAAAAGACACCTCGTTCACTTTCTTGCGAGGGGTCTGCTTCAATACGCGCCTCCAAGAAAGCACACGCGCCCAATGGCCAACGGGGCTCCTCCACCACCACCACCACCACTAAACCACCCGTCGATGACCGTGTCGAGTTATGTTGTTGTTCACTGCACCACCACCAGCACCACCACCACCAAACTATTTGATTTTGAAAACATTGCGAAGTTTGGGGAAGACGTGTTTTACGCATCTTGAGTCGCGTCGTATTTCAGTGACGGAAGTAATTTTTGACCGATACGGGTCAAGGGGCCATCGGGTCCCCCCCGTACGCTGCACGCTCACGATCGATTGCCACGGCTCCCCCTAGTGGCTTGCGGCGGGGAGTGAGGCGCCCCAGGCTGACTCGACTCTTTTGTGTGCGTGACACCACCCGGTCCTCCTCACTGACACGTTAGACCAACTCACAGACGGACGAGTTTGTGTTTTATCATGTATGTCGACTTGAACAGATTCTGTGTGGATGTGTTTTTATCTCCATTGATACTAATAATAATGTATCTTTTTTTTACATGTAAAAACCCGCCCCGATTACATTTTCAATTTCAAACAGCGCACATTGGTGTGTGTGTGTGTCTAATGTACATATGCGGACACAGCACTAATCGTACGGAATGATACAGTAAAACCAGGAATTACAGTGCATAGCAGTGGTTTCTAACCCGGGGTGCACGAACTCCCTGTGGGAGTGCGAGATGCCCCTTTCTGGGGGGGGGGGGGGGGGGGGGTGCGAGATGCCCCTTTCTGTGGGGGTGCGAGATGCCCTTTCTGTGGGGGTGCGAGAAGCCTCTTTCTGTGGGGTGCGAGATGCCCCTTTCTGGGGGGTGTGAGATGCCTCTTTCTGTGGGGGTGCGAGAAGCCTCTTTCTGTGGGGTGCGAGATGCCCCTTTCTGTGGGGGTGCGAGATGCCCCTTTCTGTGGGGGTGCGAGAAGCCTCTTTCTGTGGGGTGCGAGATGCCCCTTTCTGGGGGGGTGCGAGATGCCCCTTTCTGTGGGGGTGCGAGATGCCCCTTTCTGTGGGGGTGCGAGATGCCCCTTTCTGGGGGGGTGCGAGATGCCCCTTTCTGTGGGGGTGCGAGATGCCCCTTTCTGGGGGGGTGCGAGATGCCCCTTTCTGTGGGGGTGCGAGTTGCCTCTTTCTGTGGGGTGCGAGATGCCCCTTTCTGTGGGGGTGCGAGATGCCCCTTTCTGTGGGGGTGCGATATGCCCCTTTCTGTGGGGGTGCGAGATGCCCCTTTCTGTGGGGGTGCGAGATGCCCCTTTCTGGGGGGGTGCGAGATGCCCCTTTCGGTGGGGGTGCGAGTTGCCTCTTTCTGTGGGGTGCGAGATGCCCCTTTCTGTGGGGGTGCGAGATGCCCCTTTCTGTGGGGGTGCGATATGCCCCTTTCTGTGGGGGTGCGAGATGCCCCTTTCTGGGGGGGTGCGAGATGCCCCTTTCTGTGGGGGTGCGAGATGCCCCTTTCTGGGGGGGTGCGAGATGCCCCTTTCTGTGGGGGTGCGAGTTGCCTCTTTCTGTGGGGTGCGAGATGCCCCTTTCTGTGGGGGTGCGAGATGCCCCTTTCTGGGGGGTGCGAGATGCCCCTTTCTGTGGGGGTGCGAGATGCCCCTTTCTGGGGGGGTGCGAGATGCCCCTTTCTGTGGGGGTGCGAGATGCCCCTTTCTGGGGGGTGCGAGATGAGATGCCCCTTTCTGTGGGGGTGCGAGATGCCCCTTTCTGGGGGGGTGCGAGATGCCCCTTTCTGGGGGGGTGCGAGATGCCCCTTTCTGGGGGGGGTGCGAGATGCCTCTTTCTGGGGGGGGGGGGTGCGAGACGTGGGCAGATTTATTTTTTAGAAGGCAAAAAAGAATCGAAAACACAAATGAAGCCACGGGCACGTAAGTGCCAACTTGTTTCATCAAACTCTATGTATTTATTAACAATTATATATATATCAAACAAAAATTACGATTGGGAAACGTAAAGGATGCAAGGGTGGGTGCAGTAAAAAGTTAAGAACCGCTGGTGCAGAGCGTAGAATAGCGTAGAATCGTGACGGTAGTCGAACGGAACACACATTACATCATACTGGCATTGTAAATGTACAAGGGAAAAAAAATCTGTAACTATATACAGCATAGTTGGATTACTAGGCCCGGCCCTAGGACCACAGCGGTGGTTTGTTGAGTGTTGCTCCACGTCCGGTTGTATTGTAATGGTGCACTTAAAATCCAGGCTGGGGGGAGGGGGGAAAACAACCCCCTACTTAGCTATCCGGGGTCGGATGAGATCGGGCGCGTTCTGGCTGATTTGGTCAATGATGGACGTGAATACATTTCTATGGCTTGACTTTGTTTAAGCGATTCATGATCGGGATTAATGCAAGCGAAGGAGTTGAATTGCCGTGATGATGATGATGATGATTTATCAACTTCAAGTCAGTGAAATCACAGGTTGTGTGTAATTGGATTGCCTTCGTCCCCCCCCTCCACCCTGCCTGCCTAAAATAAAATTTGAACTAAGTACCGTACTTCTTAAAGATGCTTAATGGGGAAATAAAACTCAGCACTCGACGTTATTACAGCATTAACTTGTTGAAAGGTGTCTTGACAATAACCAACCAACGGTTGTCAGATAAGTATTTAAAATATATGTACACTTTAAGTGACTTAAATAGTCAAAAGACTCAGCCATATGCTTAACTGCCAATACGTGAGAAAAAAATAAAAGCGTCTGTCCACACAAAGCCACACATTGCGACCACATGAACGCGGATCTTTCGGTGTCGCCAGTCTTCACAAGCGTCGTTCACCGCACCGATTACAATTATCTTTACTTTCAAAAGAGTACGACCGTACTCCCAGTGCGAATGACACAGAACAGAGGCCCAGCATTCGGATGTCCGTGCGTGGAACCCGCGAGCGAGTTTGCTTTCAGTGTGGTAAGAAACTGGAACGCAGGGTTTGGGAAATAGACCGCCATGCATACAAGATGATAATAATACATACCCTTTGGTTCAATTCGGCAAAGTCACGTATGTAAAAAAATAAACAAACAACAAAAATCACGACGTTTCGGCCACAACACAAGTGGCCTTCATCAGGTGAAGGGACCAACCTGTCCAGAGGACAGCGTTGGAGTGAAGAAGTCAAGCGCAGGTCGCCTCCTTTAAGCTGTGAGTGAGTAAAACAGAAGAAAAAAAAACGCCTTGTGGCCGAAACGTCGTGATTTTATTTTTTTACCTACGTGACTTTACCGAATAGAGCCAAAGAGTATGGAACCTTGCAGTCACGAAAGCTTCAAATCTGGAAAAGATGATAATAACCTTTGAAAGTTCGTAGGAGAAAATCCTGCAGCTCTGCTTGTCGTACTGCCACTGTTTGCCATCTTCAAGGTCTCTGCACCACCTCGCCCCCCCCCCGCCCCCCAACGGAGGGGTAAGTGTGGGTCCATAAATAACGTCACGCGATTTTGGACGATTTTTGACCCATCCCGCCTTCGTCACACGGCGTCACAAAAAGTCAGATCCCCCCTCTCAAATATGACGTCACAAAGCTGCCCCCCCCCCCCAACAAAATATGCTTCAAATCGCTTTAAAATATTGTCATTGTAGTGCGTATTTAATGTGGCGCTGCACTCTGATGTTGTAGTAGAAAACATTTCTTGAAAAGTCTAATTAAGTAGAACGTGTTGTCTATATTTATTTAAAGTTGCGCATTTTTACGTGACGTCACATTTCTCACCCACATCCCCCCAATCATCACACATCGTCACAAATGTCTGACCCTCCCCCCCCCCCCAGGTGCGTGACGTCATTTATGGGCAGCCCCTTAATGCAAGTTTTTTTTATGTATATATATTTAAAAACAAAAATGCATATTTAACGAGATTTGCCTACAGCCGAGCTAAAAGTGCTCTGATAGCGCGTTGTCTTTGCCCTGTTCGCCTTGGTGGCGTTGTTCTCTGACCTGACACGGGTGCTGAGACTGGGCCACAAAGAAGGCTGCTGCTGCTGCCTCTCGTGTAGGCCAAACAGTTTCAAAGACAACGCATCCACGTATGATCAGAGCCACGTGGTTTTTGTTTGCATGTTCACCACACAGCACTGTGTGGTCAATCCAGGAACTTGATTCCTTGCAACAATAAAAAAGGTTTTGCTGTTTGAACATCTCAACAGCTCGTGTTTTTCTTCTTGCTCCTTTCGGTAAAGTCACGCGGAAGGGAAACAATACAATACAAATAATAAAACAATAAAATTCTCACGACGTTTCGACTGCAAACACAAGCAGTCGTCGTCAGGTGTGAAAACCAACGGCAAGAAATTTTCCAAATTTTCCTGCTGTAGTTTTCACACCTGACGATGATTGCTTGTCGTGAGAATTTTATTGTTTTAGATTTTTATTATTTTATTGTTTCCCTTCTACGTGACTTTACCGAAAGAACCAAGAATATGAATCCCTGCAGTCACGAAAGCCTTAAATCAAAACCTCCTGTTTCATTGCCAAAAAGGGTATAAAATCTATTCTCACTTTTCATACTTTGATGCCGCCAAAAAGGGTCCCATCCTATAGCCAAAGCGTCCAATTGCCAATCACAATGCCGATTGTTTTGTTTTGTTTGTTTGCCGCAGATAAGCCCGAGTCTCAAGACCTATTCCAAGAGGATCCTGCCCACATTTGGGGACGCTTGGCCGTGAATTCCCGTGAGCGACGAGGGCTTCGCTTCGTGGCGCTCGAGGTGGAACCGGAGACCCGGACAACGAGAGAAGCCGGCAAACTCGCCATCTCCTGGCCATCACACCTCGCAGCGCCCCTCGACCTACGACACCTGGCAAGGCCCGGTGGCGATGGGCCACCGCGGACGCGATGAGGCAGAGATTTAGCTCGGCAATGCACGTGAAGTCACGGGCAAAGGTTACGATGGAGGGAGGGGGGGGGGGTTTCCTGTCGATTTCCTCGGTGACGCGGTTGTTTTTTGCAACGGTTTCAGTTGTTTTGGCTCTGATGTCTATTTGGTTGATTTCACGCCAATGTCTGTTTCCTCCATTGTTATACCTGAGTTCATTATTGTTATTGCTTTTTTTTTACACAAATTGCGCCGATGCCCTATTCTCCCCACCCCCCAACCTCCAATATGTGCAGATACTACTGCCTCTATTGTATGTCGGGTGTGTAGGCATATATACCTACAAAATACATTTATTTTTGGTGGGGGGAAGGATTGACAATGTTTTGAAACCTGTTGGATGAACTTTTTACCCCCACATCTAGTGGGGAGGGGAGGGTGTGACCATTTTCTATAACATTTTTGATTCAGGCCTTCTGAAAGGCTCTTATTATTTAGTTGACGGACAAATGGAACGCCGGGCTTTTAAAATAAGATGTTGGTAACGCAGCTCAGCCCCACTTGCTTAATGAAGACCTCTATCCTGGCCTCTGGAGTACTCGCACCGGTTAAACGAAATCAACTTAAAACGCGCGGTTGTATTTCCAGCGCGAACTGTTCGTGATTTTAATTGAACGCGCCGTTAAATCTCGCAGTGTCGCTAAACCGGAGGCGCTCATTAGGGTTAATGGTCCGCACTCGCTCAAGACGCGCGCACCAAAAACACAGTTTTAATAACACACGTTCCACCCACGCACGTGCAGCGATACAATTTAATTGAAACGTGCCCACACTGCTCGCTTTTCGGCTTCCTGTGGTTCAACGCACAGCAGCGGCGCGACAGCAGCGTGTCATGAACGAGGAGCTCTCGTTACCGACCCCGCGCAAGAACTCGCTGGGATTCGACCCCTGACCCAGGAATCAAACAGCGGTCAGCCCTGAGGCGGCTGCGGAACCGGGCATCGCAGGTGCGGTCACCACCTCCCACCCCTGCGTCATCATCATCGAAGGACATGATGAAGAGTCCGTAGTGTTACTGCTGCTGTCAAAAGAGCATGGGTCACGTGGATCCACACTGCCCCCAAAGCATGGGTCACGTGGTCCCACACGGCCCCGCACCACTGATTCAGAGCATGGGTCAAGTGGTCCCACGCTCCCCCCACTGATTCACAAAGCATGGGTCATGTGGTCCCACACTGCTCACCCCCATACCACTGACTCACAGAGTATGGGTCACGTGGTGCCACACTGCTGACACCCATACCACTGACTCACAGAGCATGGGTCACGTGGTGCCACACTGCCGACTCCCATACCACTGACTCACAGAGCAGGGGTCACGTGGTGCCACACTGCTGACCCCCATACCACTGACTCACAGAGCATGGGTCACGTGGTGCCACACTGCTGACACCCATACCACTGACTCACAGAGCAGGGGTCACGTGGTGCCACACTGCCGACCCCCATACCACTGACTCACAGAGCATGGGTCACGTGGTGCCACACTGCTGACACCCATACCACTGACTCACAGAGCAGGGGTCACGTGGTGCCACACTGCCGACCCCCATACCACTGACTCACAGAGCATGGGTCACGTGGTGCCACACTGCTGACCCCCATACCACTAACTCGCAGAGCATGGGTCACGTGGTGCCACACCGAGGGCAGTGTCACCAATGATCCACGCAGCCTCCACAGAGGCCACTGGAATGGCTCGACAACCTCGGCGCCCAACACAGGTAACGTCACAAACGTCACCTTGCCAATACGAAAGAAGACGGATCGTTGAACGTTGACTTTACATTTTATATGCAAGACACCACACATCGATTGTTTCTTCTAATGACACACGGGGACTGGACGCAATATTTTCAAGCGCGGAAAGGAAAGTTTGCGGTCCTGCCAATTGCTCGCTCCACAACCATACTGGTCGGATGTGTGTTGGAAGAGCAGAGGGGGTGGTGAGTACTCACACTTTTCCCCACCACACTCAAGCAGAAAGTTGATTTAAATGCATTCGCACCGAACGAACGATGAAACAAGACGATACAAATACACTTGAAAAATTATCATTAACCTCGCTAAGCGATAACCCATTTCGTGAAACAAAACAAAAAAAAAAGTACACCACAACACGGCATGGCGTGGGCTTGATGGAACATGGAGTGGTGTGTTCACAACCGTGACCCGGCGTGGAGCATTCATGACGGAACGCGGAGTGGGGTTCGTCACAACCCGGCGTGGAGCGTGCACTGTGCGCGGCACTGCAACGAGAAGCGGTGTTTGCAGTTGACGATGCCAAGCCTAAAAGATCCCCTCCCCTCTAGAACCCAATTAGTGCAGCTAAGTTGCTTGCAGTGACGAATACAATTTATTATTTGCGGGCGTCGTGTGTGGCTACCCTCGTGGTGGCTCGTGGGCCGCAGGGTTCCAGTCCCTTGCCACGTGGAGGCGGTCCCTCTGTGCGTGCGTCACTGAGGAGTGGGGACTGGAGCGGTGGCACAGTAGGCCACCAACACCAGTGACGAATATGTAGCGAGCCTGGTCCCAGGTGTCCCCTAGGTCGACTCAGCCTCAAATGAGTAGCCGGTGCACCGTGTAAACATCGCCACTGGGCGAGACGAAGGGAGGGGGGGGGGCGTGGCTTCCCCGGCCACACCAATCCCTCGTGTGCCGTGTCGGCCTTTGCGGGCGCTACCCCGCGAACTGCACTTGCTCCTGCAGTCTGTTAAGGCTTGGGGGCCACTTTTGCCAGAAGCTCCGCGCGCTGCGAGGCTGCCATGGCCGGTCGCGTGCACGTGGCCAGCAGGCAGCCACGCTCGATATTTTGAGGTCCGCATCATCCTCCCGTCGACGAGGGCGACGCGAACGGCGGTCGGTGTGACGGAGCCGCTGAGTTACGCAGTAGCGCGAGGACAGCAGCAGCAGCTGCAGCAGCAGCAGCAGTTTCGTAGACAGTGGTTGTGTCGACTTAATGCCACCGTGGCACAGGAGTCGAAATCGTCTCGACTACGTGTGGTCCGGGCCTCGTGCACCCCGTGACCAGAGATTACCCAGGGTTCCCAGGGGGGCAACCTCAGGGGGTAGGGGGTCACGTGGGCGATGGCCCCGCCCCCCACCTTGAGCCCCGAATGTAATATTTTATTATTATTATTTATCAGAATGAATACACTCAATTGTTTTTTTTTAATGAATGTAGGACCCTGATCATGAAAATTCGTAGCACGCCCCCCCCCCCCCCTCTTACACCTTCCTCCCTGGGAGGTTTCAAAATCCACGTCTGAGAAGTGATCCTGTGATCGGTGAGAAAGTAGGGGGCAAACTTGGTCAGATCGTGACTCCAATCTACCCAGCCAGCACCGGGAGCTGCCCACTCGTGGTAAGAGCCCCCCCCGCCCGGTCCCCAGTACCACTGCACCGCCCCCACCACCACCACTGCCCCCACCACCGCCCCACCACCACCACTGCCCCCACCACCGCTACCACCACTGCCACCGCAGTAGAGACCGGTGAGACGAAGCGGCCTCACCGTTCGCCCCCTCGCTGAGACCGGCTGGCATTGGCGCTCTTGGCGTGTCGGCCATCTACCCAGGAACCCAACAATGACCGGGAAGAGCGCTGAGCAGAGGCGGTGGTGGGGTGGGGTGGGGGGCACACACCCCCAACATCTGCAGCGTGTCTGTGGCCCTAGTAGTTAGTGGGCACGGACAGAGACAGAAGGACAGAGACGGACGGACAGAGACAAAGGGACAAGGCGAGAGGCATGAGGAGAGACCGCCGTGAGAGCTGGTGGGCCCAGCTGGTGTTCCGTGGCGCTGCGGTTGGGCTTTCGTTTCTCCGTCCCTCCCGCAGCTCAGGTGCAGATGCGCTGGAAGACGAAGTGGTAGTCGGTGAAGGTTGCCTCGGCCTGCCCCCCGCTCGTGTCGCAGTCTGCCAGGCCCTGCGGGGGGGGAGGGGGCGGTGCCACGTGGGTGACGCCTCTGAGCTCTCCCGCTGGTCCGCCATCGCCGGGCCGTGGAGGGGGATTTCCGCGACACCGACCGAGGGACCGAGTGGCCGATCTGATCGGCCGGCTTCGCTCTCGAGCTCAGCAAGCTGGCCGTTGAGTCGACGGTAATAATAATAATATATATTTTTTTTGGGAGGGGGGGGAGGTGTTAGATCGCGGAAACATGAACGTGTCGTTATAGAGCCACCACCACCGGATAAATAAGTTCAGTCAGAAGCTTGCCGGGGCGCACAACTCCCGTTTACAGCCCTGCAGAGCCGGTGGTGGAAGTTCAGTACCCCTATCGCAGGGACGCGGTTACGATAACAAGAACGCGCGTCTTTACATCGTAGCGTCGTTCACGCAAACTGCATCGCACCTGCCGCTGATTGCCGTGTCCTGGCCAATTAACGACGGCCGTTGATGAGTGTCGGAGGGAACTGGAGCACCCCGGAGGAACACGCATGTGCGGGGGCAACGCTCTGTCCCCGTACAGATGGCACAGACGCAGACGAGTCCCCAGTTGACTGTACCGCCCTCTGACGAGCCGGGGTTTGGCACCTCAACGACCCGTAACGGCGAAGGGAGTTTCACGACATCCGTGCGCGGTGATCCGCCAACCCCCTCGCCGCTGCCCCCACGGTGCTGGATTACAGGCAGCCGCGTGCAGCGTGGCCACCACCGCCACTCCTGCCCGGCTGTCTATCCATAACAACCCCTCCAAACGCTGCCGTCCGGAAGACGAATGCGTTCTCCTTGAGAATTGGGCCAGCGCGAGGAGCCACTCACCACCACGACGATCCTGAAGTGGTAAGTGCTCCGGTAGAAGGGCGCTACGAGCAGGTCCCAGGTGTGCTGGTAGCCCTGGACACGCGCGCCACAGACATCACCACAGAGTTGGGGCCGTTATCATCATTGTTGTTGTTATTGTTATGATATCAACTCGTGGCGCCGGGCCAACCCGCCGCACTGCATCCGCTCCTCGCTCTAATACGGCGAGGGAGAGAGAGGGGACGACTCAGAGAGAGAGGGCGACTCAGAGAGAGGGCGACTCAGAGAGAGAGAGGGCGACTCAGAGAGAGAGAGGACGACTCAGAGAGAGAGGGCGACTCAGAGAGAGAGAGGACGACTCAGAGAGAGGGCGACTCAGAGAGAGTGGACGACTCAGAGAGAGAGAGAAGACGACTCAGAGAGAGAGAGAGAGGACGACTCAGAGAGAGAGAGAGGACGACTCAGAGAGAGGATGACTCAGAGAGAGAGAGGGCGACTCAGAGAGAGAGAGGACGACTCAGAGAAAGGGGGCGACTCAGAGAGAGAGAGGACGACTCAGAGAGAGGACGACTCAGAGAGAGAGAGGACAACTCAGAGAGAGAGGACGACTCAGAGAGAGAGAGAGGACGACTCAGAGAGAGAGTGAGAGGACGACTCAGAGAGAGGACGCCTCAGAGAGAGAGAAGGCGACTCAGAGAGAGAGAGGACGACTCAGAGAGAGGGGGCGACTCAGAGAGAGAGAGAGGGCGACTCAGAGAGAGGACGACTCAGAGAGAGGGCGACTCAGAGAGAGAGGGGTGACTCAGAGAGAGGACGACTCAGAGAGAGAGAGAGGACGACTCAGAGAGAGGACGACTCAGAGAGAGAGAGGGCGACTCAGAGAGAGAGCGGACGACTCAGAGAGAGAGAGGACGCCTCAGAGAGAGAGAAGGCGACTCAGAGAGAGAGAGGACGACTCAGAGAGAGGGGGCGACTCAGAGAGAGAGAGGGCGACTCAGAGAGAGGACGACTCAGAGAGAGAGAGGGCGACTCAGAGAGAGAGAGGACGACTCAGAGAGAGGGGGCGACTCAGAGAGAGAGGGCGACTCAGAGAGAGGACGACTCAGAGAGAGAGAGGACGACTCAGAGAAAGAGGACGACTCAGAGAGAGAGAGGGCGACTCAGAGAGAGAGAGGGCGACTCAGAGAGAGAGAGGACGACTCAGAGAGAGAGAGGACGACTCAGAGAGAGGATGACTCAGAGAGAGAGAGGACGACTCAGAGAGAGAGAGGACGACTCAGAGAGAGGACGTCTCAGAGAGAGAGAGGACGACTCAGAGAGAGAGGGGTGACTCTGAGGCGCCAGGAGGAGGAGCCGCAGGCGAGGAGCGGTAAGGGAGCCACGCAGTGAAGAGCCGGCGGCAGCGACTGCCCAAGCTCTGCAGCACCTCTATATGTCAAGGTGTTATCGGACAACAGTTAACGGGTGTTTACATGTGGGAGGAAACCGGTGCACCTGGGGCAAAAAACCCACGTGCGTGAGGGGGAAACACTCTATCCCGTAGAGACGGAACAGGGGGCGTCCACATTTTTGCTGCGCTGTCTTCTCCTGGTGAGCCAGGGGCTACGGTAAAGTCACGTGGATAGGTTCAAGTTAATGAAAATAAAATAAACGAAGAAAAGCGGCGACGTTTCGATCGCAACGCAAGCGATCGTCATCAGGAGGAGAAAAGAGGGGTAAAACGGCCGAAGGCAGGCTGTTTTAAGAGGTTTAAAATGGGCGTAGCCCAAGGTCATGAACGTCACTAGCCCCGCCCACTTCGCTTATGACTCGCAATCCAGAGGTCGCCGGTTCGAGTCCATCTCTGCCCTTGCACCATTCTAATGAATGGGATCCTAACCACGCTTAGTCGAGCGGCTGGCGGCTAAGGGAGTCTCACAACATCTGCGCGGTGATCCACCAACCCCTCGCTGCTGCCTGCACAGCGCTGGATCACATTAGCCACGTGCAGCAGCACAGCAGCAGCAGTGTAGCCACCACCGCCCAGAGGAAGGCCTCGCTGTGTCTCAGGACCCTCTTTCAGAGGGGGTCCGGCTTGGCTTTTGCGGTAGCTGCCGCGTGTTAAGCAATTAGCGGCGTCATATTCTATGGGTCTCTCGGTAAAGTCACAAAGAAAATAACAAAAAAGAGGCCTTTTTTTCCCCTCCTGATGACGGCCGCTTGCGTTGCGATCGAAACGTCGTAGGTTTTTTCGTTCTTTTCTTTGGAACCGATCTACGTGACTTTACCCAAAGGCCCACGCGGTCACGAAAGCTCTAAGTAAAGATTTAGCGGTGTCATTTAACAAAATTTGGCAAGTTTGGACCGCGCGACGCCCGGCACGCGACGCCCGGCCCTCCTGCGGACTGCGCCAGAGGCGGCGCGGAGCGCGGCCGTGGTGGTGTATTGAACGGTGAACGCGCAGGGCGCGGTGTTAACCAGGGCGGCCCGCGCGACTCGGGCCGCGAAGCTCGGCAACGTCGAGCGGCCCGACCGCGCTACCCCCCCCCCCCACCCCCCCCCCCACCCCACCCCCCCCCACCACCACCCCCCCACCCCCGTTACCTGCGTGCTTCGCAGCAGCTCAGGCTGAGGCACGTTGGCGAGGCAGGGCGCGGTCTGCTCCGCGTCACACATGTACATCAGCAGCGGCTCCGACGTGCTGCGCGCACACAGGCAAAGGTCCCCCGCGTAGCCTTCACCGGGACCGCTTTCGGGGGCAGGCGCCGCTGGCGAGCGGCGGCGGAGAGACTCAGAAGGCCGGCACGGCACACGAGGGGGGGGGGGGGGGCGACGGTACCGTGCCCGGCCGCCATTGTACCCCCCGGTTCCGACGATAATGACGCACCGCACGAAGACGACTTGGGGCAGGCACAGGGCCGGTTCGGATATTCGTCATTGTTATTGGTCGTTGAGCGGGGAATCGAACTCGGGTCGACGGGTTCATAGCAAGAGTGTTGTGTCGTTGCGTTAGTTATTGTTGCTAGAATTGTGAGGGTGAAATTATTGTGTTGTTATTGTGTTGATTGTTGTTGGTTGTGGTTGTTGACGTGAGGCCATACTTGAGCTCCAGTCTGATGAGCTGGTCGGGCGGGGTTTCGCCACTGATGGGAATCACCATGGTGTAGTTGCCCTTCCTGTGACGCACACGCACGTACACACACACATCGGTGTTACCAGCAGCGAGAAAAACTCAACAACGAGACGCACAGATGACTGGGCACGGTTTCCTCTCCATATGTCCACATCAACATAACATGAAGCTGTAGCCCCATCGGGCCCATTGGCATTTCGAGACAGAGCTACATCAACCAGCAGCTGCCAGTGAGCAAGGCGGTGAGCGAGGAGGTGAGTGAGGAGGTGAGCGAAGAGGTGAGTGAGGCTGTGAACGAGGTGAGCGAGGAGGTGAGCGAGGCTGTGAACGAGGTGAGCGAGGAGGTGAGCGAGGAGGTGAGCGAGGAGGTGAGCGAGGAAGTGAGTGAGGCAGTAAGCTCACCCGCACGGTGCCCCAGCGACACAGTAGTCGGTGTCGATAGTCAGCTGACTCTCCAGGATCTGAATACTCCGGGCTCTGGTGTCAGTCCCTGCACAATGACCACCATCACCACCATCACCACCATCACCATCATCGTCAGCATCGTCACCATCGTAAGCATCATCAGAATCACCATCAGCATCGTCACCATCACCAGCATCATCTATATCGTCAGCATTGTCACCATGGTCAGCATCATCAGCATTACGGTCAGCATCGTCACCATCATCAGTATCATCATCGTCACCATCATCGTCACCCATCATCACCGTCACCATCATCGTCACCCATCATCACCGTCAATATCGTCAGCATCATCACCATCGTCAGCACCATCTGGATCATCGTCACCATCGTCAGCATCATCGTCAGCATCATCAACATCGTCAGCATCATCACCATCGTCACCATCATCGTCACCCATCATCACCGTCAATATCGTCAGCATCATCGTCACCATCGTCATCGTCACCATCGTCAGCATCATCACCATCATCACCATCGTCAGCATCATCACCGTCAATATCGTCAACATCGTTACCATCGTCAGCATCATCACCATGGTCAGCATCATCGTCACCATCGTCATCACCATCGTCATCATCATCGTCACCATCGTCAGCAAGCTTACAGTCGACACCCCCCACGTTCCTCCTCCTCCTCTTGCTCCTCCTCCTCCGCCGCCCCCCGGCTCCGCCCCCACCCCGCGGTGCCGTCTGATTGGCCGGAGCGCTTGTCCCGCCTCCGCCGTCGACCGTTGACCCAGGAGCGGGACTTGGGACGGGCGACCGCCGCCTCTCCGCTCCGACCGTCGAGTCGAGGAGGCCTCCACCCAGCGGTGGCCCTGGGCACAAGCGCACCGAGCAAAGTGTTGAGGCCCCAAGTGACATCACGAGGTAATAATGTCGATCTGTGTTGTCTGCGTTTCTCTTCTCTTGCTACACCGGAGATGTCGAAGAGCTACCCGCACGCAATTTAACGATTGGGGCGCGGGCGTTCCGCTGGGGGCTACAGCCGGCGGTTTGCCGAAAATCGGCGCTGCGGATCGCTCTCCGGCAACGGCACTGGCCGGTCGTGCTGCTGAAGAAGACGGAGCGGCTGCCACTCGGCGCGTTGGTTCATCGCGCCGCAGCTTCGTATTAATTGGCCGTGTCGGTGGAGGAGGGGTGCACAACACATTTGGTTCTGCGATCTCTGCGTATAGAAGGGACGAGAGTTGGGAGCCCCTCGGTCTAGAGGGGACCGTGGCACACGGCCGGCTGGTGAGCTACCGGCTGGGCTACCTTTCCCGTGCGTGGTTGAGCCTCCGCCTCCGCCGCGGGCGACGGCTCCATGCCGGCGTGCGAACGGAGGGACGAGCGCTTTGGTGGCGCGGGCCGGCAGGGCGTCGTTGGCACCGTTGGGTCCGTCGGGAGACGGCATCGACTTGGGCCGAACGCCCGGGCGGGAGCGCGGGCCTGTGGGGTGAAATGACGCGGGAGCGGCAAGTCAGCGGCAAGTCGAGTTTATTTTTGGTGGACGTTTTTGCTAAAAATGCGCGGCGCCTTTCTGGCACGAATCTGCCACTCAAAAGTGCCATCGTCCTCCAGCGGTGGTCAGAGGTAAAGGCGCAGCCCTGCAATCGCTCGCTCACTCGCTCGCGTGCCACCACTGGCGGAAGAGAGAGCGGAGCTCCAGGGTTGTTTGTTTGGTCTAACTCTCCACGCGGGCCAGGCGTGTTGGGAGGTGTGCGGAGTAGCCACACTACCCCACCACACGCGGCCAGCCGCTCGACTAAGCGTGGTTAGGTTCCCATTCATTAGACTGGTGCAAGGGCAGAGATGGAATCGCACCGGCGACCTCTGGATTACGAGTCATAAACGAAGTGGGCGGGGCAAGTGACGTTTATGACCTTGGGCTACGCCCATTTTAAACCTCTTAAAACAGCCTGCCTTCGGCTGTTTTACCCCTCTTTTCTCCTCCTGATGACGATCGCTTGCGTTGCGATCGAAACGTCGTCGTTTTTCTTTGTTTATTTTATTTTCATTCATTTGAACCTATCCACGTGACTTTACCGAAAGACCCAAAGGACATTCATTCCTGCAGTCATGAAAGTTTTATCACGAATACCGTGCGTGATCCACCAACCTCCGTCGATTAATTCCACATCAACGCTCACCACCGGAGAGCTTGGGCAAGGAGGCTTGGGATGATGAGGACGACGACGACGAGGAGGAGGAGGAGGACGCGGCGGTGGAGGTGAGATTGTGGCCTGAGAGATCGGCCGTGGATGGGGCAGCGGTCGGTGGCGGGCAGCACATTGGCCGGCAGGGGGGGTTGAAGCACAGGTCGATGCACGGGAGCTCGCGACCTACGGGGAGCCGGGCACAGCGGCACAGCAATTCACACGCACAGACAAAGGTGTCCCCCTGCCCCACCCGGCGTGGCCTCGAACAAACCGTTGGGTCAAGTGCTGTGTCGTGCGTTGCGTGCGTGCGCGTGCGTGCACTCACTTGGCAGCGTGGTGTAATTACCCGGCGGTTGTGTCGCCGGCTGTGAGCCCGTCCAGTATTTGGAAGTGCTCGACACAATGCTACTGGGGTAGGGAACGAAGACAATGAAACACGTGTCTACTTGCGGTCGTCGTACAGAATCACCGCTCACCTGGCACGGCAATGAGGAATTCCCACTGCTGGCTCAGCAGCTGCCAACCTGAGAGCCCTTGACTTGACCGCCCGGACGCTGAGATCCAACTCGGGCTGCCGCCCGTTTATCTTTCGCTGTCGGTGCTCCGCTAACGAGATTCCCGCAGTGTCCGTTTCGCACGACCCTGCGTCTGTGGCCGGCGTTTTTAAGCGCTCCGTCGTCGCCGCACTGCCTGCCGATAGCGGCCACTCGACCGCAGCTCGCACAACCCCAGCCTGCCGCGAGCCTTCTCGCAGCGGCATCGCTGCGATCCGCGGCGGTTACAACGCCATCGTAGAGCTTTGTTTTGGGGTTAGATCGCGTCAGTATAAGTGCGTCGTTAAACCCGCCACCGCCCGACGCAGCCAGTGAGTTAGATTGCGTCACGTAAACAGAACGTGGCCCAACTCGTTGCCGGTACAGCGCTCACCGCTTGTGTGCTGGAGAGCAAACCCACAACATTTTACAACTCGAGAACGACGTTTCGCCGGTAATTACAACCAGCATCATCAGGCGACAGCCAGCAGCTAAACGCGGGGAGACTATTGATGAATCAGATTAACCAGGGGTATAATGATGATAATGACAATGTGCTTTCATTCTGCGAGGTCTCTGCGAGTGACACTCTTGGGAGGCAATCATCAGAGTAATCGCTTTGACTCATCTGTAGCTGGGGGGGGGGGGGGGTGAGAGGCTAAGTACTGCCCCTCTCCCTCTACTCTGAGTGGACGAGAGCTCACTCGAAGACGGGATCTCAGAGGCTGCTCCGTAGTGTCCGCTTCCGCGCACCGCAGCGTGAGAGCTCCGAATGGATTTGACATCTCGTGATGACGCGTCGCCGACAGCGCAATCGGGATAAAAACAATTGGGAGGTATAATTTCGATTGAAAGCTTTCGTGACTGCAAGGATTCATCTTCTTTGGTTCTTTTGGTAAAGTCACGTAGAATGAGAATAAAATAACAAATTAATAAAATAACACAATAAAATTCTCATGACCTTTCGGCCACAACACAAGTGACCTTCAGGTGAAAGGAACAGACCTGTCGGGACGACAGAAGCTCTGTGTTATTTTATTTTATTAATTTATTATTTTATTCTCATTCTACGTGACTTTACCGAAAGAACCAAAGAAGATGAATTGGGAGGTAATTCTAACGCGGGGTGGGGGGGCGGGGGGGGGGGGGCAGCGCAGTGGTGCCATTCGCGCCTCCCAGCGAGAAGTGTCTGGGTTCGACTCCTGACTCAGACACCTCTCTGAGCGGAGTTTGTAGGTTCTCGACCCCTGCTCTGCGTGGGGTTTCCTCCCGGTTCCCATGGCTCAAATAAAACTCGCACAATGTATGTAGCCGGTGTCGGCCAACACCACCCCATAATGCTGAACAATGAGACACGCGTGGTGGCCAAGTCACTCAGCTGGGCCCACGCACAGCAGCGGCATCGCCCCCCCCCACCCCCCCCCCCCGTGCTGCCCTGGCCTCCTGAGCAAAACCTGGGCAAACTGGTGGAATCCTAATAATAATAACAACAACAATAATAGCAATAACAATAATAACAACAATAACAACAATACTAGCAATAACAACAATAGCAATACCAATAATAACAACAATAACAACAATAATAGCAATAACAACAATAACAACAATAATAACAACAATAATAGCAATAACAACAATAACAACAATAATACCAATTACAATAATAACAATAATAACAATAACAAATATAAAAATAATAACAAAAATAATAACAATATCACCAATAATAACAATAACAACAATAATAACAATAACAACCATAACAACAATAATAACAACAATAACAACAAAAATAACAATAATAACAATAACAACAAAAATAACAACAATAACAACAACATCAACAATAATAACAGCAATCAAAGCAATAACAATAATAACAACAATAACAACAGTGACAACAACTATAACAATAACAACAACTATAACAATAACACCAACAATAATAACAACAACTATAACAATATCAACAATACCAATACCAACAACACCAATAACAAGAATACAACGGTGGTGTCCAATCCATCGCTTACTCGGCGATTTCTTTTTCAGACGAGTTGCCCCCGCTCTTGAGGCTCATGATGTACAGCGTCGACATGGACACCACACTGCAGACGCACACAGACAAAGGTCCCCGCAACCGTGGAGCCTCGTGGTTGTGTTGTTGTCGTTGTGTGCGTTGTTGTTGTTGTCGTTGTGTGCGTTGTTGTTGTTGTTGTGTGCGTTGTTGTGTTGTTGTTGTTGTGTGCGTTGTTGTTGCGTGGTATTTTGTGTGTGCATTGCCGTTGTGTGCGTTGTCGTTGTGTGCGTTGTTGTTGTGTGCGTTGTTGTTGTGTTGTTGTTGTTGTGTGCGTTGTTGTTGTGTGTGTTGTTGTTGTGTTGTTGTTGTTGTGTGCGTTGTTGTTGTGTACGTTGTTGTTGTGTGCGTTGTTGTTGTTGTCGTTGTGTGCGTTGTTGTTGTGTACGTTCTTTTGTGCACTGTCGTGTGCATTGTTGTGTGCGTTGTTGTGTGCGTTGCTGTTGTGTGTTGTTGTGTGTTGTTGTTCCTGCATGTTGTTGTTGTGTGTGCTCTTTTGTGCGTTGTTGTGTGCATTGTTGTTGCGTGCATTGTTTTTGCGTGCGTTGTTGTTGTTGTCATTGTTGTGTGCGTTGTTGTTGTTGTCGTTGTTGTGTGCGTCTGGCCCATGTGGAATCTGTGCCGCCGGTTCTCGCGCCAGCACCTGAATGCCATGATGACCACGAGCGCGATGATCGTCCCCTGGAGGAACCTCTGACCCAGACAGCCCGGGTGAGGCTGGGTAGCCTGAGCCTGCGTCGCGCACGAGCCACACGCACACATAACCCACACAAGCCACACGCACACAGAACCCACACGCACACAGAACCCACACGCACACAGAACCCACACGCACACAGAACCCACACGCGCGCACACGCACACAGAAGCCACACGCACGAGCCACACGCACAAAGAACCCACACGAGCCACACGCACAAGCCACACGCACGAGCCACACACACACACACGCACACACACAAGGCACACGCACACAGAAGCCACACGCACGAGCCACACACGCACACACGTGCATGAGCCACACGCGCACAAGCCACACGCATATATAGACTTACGTAGAGATCCATAGACTTACATAGAGACCCATGGACTGACATAGAGACCCATGGACTTACGTAGAGATCCATAGACTTACATAGAGACCCATGGACTTACATAGAGACCCATGGACTTACACAGAGACCCATGGACTTACATAGAGACCCGTGGACTTACACAAAGACCCATTGACGTGCATAGAGACCCATGGACTGACAAAGAGACCTATGGACTTACACAGAGACCATTGACTTGCATAGAGACCCGTGGACTTACACAGAGACTCATTGACTTGCATAGAGACCTATGGACTGACAAAGAGACCCATGGACTTACATAGAGACCCATTGACTTGCATAGAGACCCGTGGACTTACGTAGAAACCCATTGACTTGCATAGATATCCATGGACTGACATAGAGACCCAGTGACTTGCATAGAGACCTGTGGACTCACATAGAGACCCATTGACTTACATAGAGACCCATTGACTTACATAGAGACCCATGGGCTTAAACAGAGAACCAGATTCGTGTAGACTGGGCTGTGATTAAACCGGAAGCCCGGTCAACCAATTAATTTTCAGATCGTAGAAAAAAATGAAATAAAATCTAATCTGCGTTTCAGAGGCAGGCCTGCCAGATTCCAGAGAACCCCGGGCCTCCCGTGCGTAGGCCATGGTTTTTCTTCCCTGGTCCGTGTGTGGGTGCGTACCTTGGCACTGGCCTTGCTTGAAGGCTTGTGGGGCAGCGAGCCGTGTTTTCGATGGCCGCCTTTGCTGCTGCTGCTGCCCCCTCGGCTGAAGTTGCTGCCAGCCCGGCTAAACTGACTGCCCCCTTGACTGTGGGCACACCGTCATCATCATCATCACCATCATCGGCAGCAGCAACAGTGTCAGTAGCAGCATCAGCAGTAACAGTAGCAGGAGT